TCCACCTCGTCAGCGGGTTTCCCGCTCATCATCCTGAGATCGATCGTCCTCTTCCACTCCGAACATTAGCGACGCGTTGGCATAGAGAGTAGAGAGGAGGTAGGGTAGAGAGGGGTTGTCCTCAGTTGCGCCCGAAGAGTCTGAGGGGGCTGGCTGGACTCTGCAACCGCGCAAGCTTTGCGTCGCCCGCCAGTCCTGCGACCGAGGATCGTGTCGAAATTGAAGACACTTACAGACTGATGCTACCAATGGTATGATGTCTACATGGGGATCCAACGTCTTATCTCAGATTACAGTATCGTAGATCTACGAGGACGTCACGTAGGGAAAATTCGTAGTGGTCTCCAAGCTTGCAAGCTGCTGCTCAAACCCCTTCGCGGCTGATTGGAATGAAGCCCCCAGCTGCGGCTTCTTCCGCACATCACGTGCAGATAACGACCTTATCATCCTCGATCCACTTTTATGTCCGAATGGGAAAAGCAGTCTTTCTTCCTCTCATGTTGCGCCGAAAGCTTATTATTAAAGCTGTAAACTTGACAATATGAGAAGTTTCCTCGCGCCTCTGCAGTCACTTAGAGTCCGATTTGGTTCTTTGTGTGTTGCGAGGTTGGATGTCTTCTTGGCAACGTTTTTGTTCCATTTTCTTTGAATAAGACGAAACGATGCCCTCACCTGGACGGAATAACTCAAACCTGGAGCTTTACAATTTCGGGTCACTGTGTAGACAGGCAGAAGGGTGTTGAGTTGGGTTCGCACAGTTACTGGTCTCTCAACATAGCTCCCTTGTGAATTCTTGAAGCATTTAAATCTCTTAACTTTCTCTTCTGCGTAGCATGACTTCCAATCGATTCCGATTGTTTGCCTGAACTGTGTCGGTAAGTGCCTTGAAGAAGTGAAAAATATTATACGTCTTATATTCTACCGTGTCGTTTGGGTATTCGTCTACTATTCTTCGTTGATCATCCATCTAAGCAAGTACTCAGTTCATCCACGCTTCAATTGCCAATTCATCAAACAAAAAGCAAAAGCCAATAGCTCAGCAAAAGCTCAGCCCCCTATAGGGAGCCTACGAAAGATCCGAGGAGACTCTTACCAGCCTCAGGTGTAACGATGCAAGGATTTTTACAAGTAGAAAACGGGACTCGAACCCGTGACCCGTAGGAGCGAGGCAATTCAGAACGAGCTGACATTCCCCGCCACACCACGGGCCTTGGTGACGATAATAAATGAATTTGTATCCTATAGAGGGTATTGGGGTGGCCGTTCCCGCAGACCCTCGCTCATGGCTCATAGCTCATAGTGAAGTCTGACTATGGTACCTTAGGCATAGTTCCGCACCTCCTTGATAATCCACTATTTGCGATGGTTACTCACAGTCCGGCAAGGTAAACCGTACGGGATGTTAAAGAAAGCATTGGGATCACATACCACTTCGCCATTGGCAACAGTACTCGCCACACTTACAACCTCGATATTCCCAGGCTGGATCTATGCTATTTGTCAGTTTCCCAATCTCGAGATACCCGAAAACGAAAATAAAATAAAGGGACAGCATGGCATCTGCTTACAAACTTGACACCGTCCTTGGTCTCCCACCACACATCCTTATCATCCCCAATCGTCTTGGCCTTTGAATTCTCGGGCCACGGGCTAACACCAACCATGTGCGCCTCGACGAACCGCTGTATGTTTCTCTGCGCCTTATCCCTGCCGTCGTCGCCCTCGTAGGCATCGGCGCCGAGCTGCTGGTAGTCGCGGGGATCCTCCCACGGTTTCCGCGGCAGCCTCTCAACGGCTGAGTTGAGGGGTGCCAGCACGGTGGTGTTGCGCCCTTGGTCGTCGAGGCGGCGCGAGGCGGATTCGATGTCGCGCGTGAAGCCGGCGAAGACGTTGATGCTCCGGTCACGGCCCATTACGTCGGAGAGCCTCACGCCTCCTCCTCCTCCTCCGTCTTGGCCCGGGCCGGAAGAGGAGGGGGGGTCTGAGGGCGGCGGTGGTGGCATAGCTGGACCGGGGGCGGGGTCTACGGATTCTACGATGGGTTTCTGGCGGAAGAAGCGGGGTGCGTAGCCGTTGAGGCCGGAGCGTTCGACGGGGAGGGATCTGAGCTGGGCCGTCACTGCGGTGCAGGTCAAGAGAAGTATTATGGCGGTGGGCCGTCTCATTATGCTTCTTGTTCTTTGGGAATGGGGAATTTGTGTATCGAATTAAGATTCCCGTGGGCGCAGTTCAGGAATGCAGCAATGCAGTCGCACTTGCCTTGGAAACTACTACACTGATGGCGCGCGTCACTTCCATGTCGGATGCGGCTTCGCGGCCATGGATTTTCCCCACGAGACCAGATTTTTGGGAATCTAAGGGCGACGATTGGCTGCATCATAGGATGACATCACCCATGCGCCGATGCTGCGCAGCGCGGTGCTCTCCGCCAGCAGGAACACCTGCGACTCGTTGTGGTAAGGTATGTAGGTACCTTGCTCGCTGTAAGGCACACCAAATCACCAGCAAAAGCGCAACCACCTCATACCACGTGATGCTCGATCAACGAGGCAAGTCACAAAACGCTTACTTTCCGAAGATGCCTTCACGATGCTGAAGCGACTTCTATCTTTCGTTCCTGCATTCCCGACGGATGAGCGCACTCGCCGAGATGCACCGAAGACGGCAGCCCAATACCCCTAGGTATTCTTTACTGTTTCCTCTGAGGCTCTGGGGCCTATTTTGTCTCACAGAAGGGGGAGCGATTGCGGAGACGGGCAGCCGTTCCCCACACTTTTCTCGATCCGCGGGTTTCCTTCTGGCGCAGGTGAGTTGAGGTGAGGATGCGCGAAACGGCAGTCGGGGCAGTCGGGAATTATTGCTGCATTTGAACGAGAAAGACTGGCTGGGAGAATCCTGCGCCTCAGCATTCAGCGACAAAAAACGATGCATGGCCACTACTACCAATTGTACTAAGAGTTAAGATTGTGATATCCTCAGGAATCAAGAAAGCTTCTCATGAATCATGAGAGGTTGAATTGGAAACCAAGTCGATGGGATAGGTGGCAAGTTTCTGTATGGGGGGGTTTTACGGTCAAAGAAGCTTGAGCACCTGACACATCTAGGCTTTTGCTACGTCCTGCCGCTTTTCCCCAAGAATGCCCCCTTTCACATGCGAAAAAAAGATGTACGGCCTGGGTTCCCCAGACCAGCCCAGTCAGCCCAGCACCAGCCCCCAAGCACGACTCCAAAAAAGAAGTCCCTGGAGCCGGAAATGGCCCGTGAGAGGAAGAGGATTTGTACTGTACTACTGTGTATTCGACTATAATTGTACGAGTGCGGAGGAACAAGCTGGACTGGAATGCAGGCCGAAAGTGGTCGCCCAGCAGCGGCAAGGGAAAAGAGGGGACGGCAATGCGAGTAGATCCTCGGTCAGGTGCTAAAAGTTCCGGACCGGTCAATCATCTGACCTGCACCTCTTGTGTGGGGGATTAGGTGGGAGGGGGGCAAGTGAGACTACCTACTACGTACGGTAGGTACCTACAGTCCTGCACAGTACGTGGTGGCTATGCCTCTATTGCACGTAGCTTCACTCGTGAAGATTCGACGGCGCCGTGAGAATTGCGCTCGATCAGCCGCAGCCTTGATGCAGCCGCACAGTCTTGAGGGGCAGAAGGGGCTGGAGAAGGGTTTTGGAACGTGTCCCATGGCATGGGGCATCGCAGGCGACGGGTTTATGCCCGTGAAGTTTGTCGAATACCCGTTCACCTTGTTGACACGAGGCATGTGGTACGCACCCAAGGTTGTGGGGAGAGCGGGAAGGCGACGGGACGCCAATTGCTGGTTAGAAATTTGACGGCAGACGTTTAGTTTTGGTAGCCTCTCAGACGGGGAGACAGGCGGTTCGAGGTTCAGTCAGCTGCATGAGCTCGAGCACGAGGGTAAGCCCGTGACCTTGGATGCACCTTGGGTACAAGTGGTAAATGAGTGGCCTTCACATGTCAGAGGCAGACGATGGACGGCTCGAAAAGTCCTGAAACTGTCACAAAATTCTTCATGGCCTTTTTTGCGGCAGCTTACTCCAACAATTTGACTCGTGAAAGTGTACTTACCTATACAGTTGGAGCTAAGGCTGGCGCAGGCGTGGCAGGTGAACCGGTCTGCCATCCCTTCTCGAGAGAGCCTCAAGTGCATCTTTTGAGGTTTTTGGGTCAAACGGCCTCAACATGTCTACTGTGTAATGCCCTCTCTTCCGTTGGTCAGTTCGGTAAACGGAGCGTAGAGGTACCTCAGTAATAGACGGGGAACCTTTAGTAGCCAGACGGGGAATTCGAGACTTTTAGAACATCCCCCACAGTTTCCCCCAGTTTTGCAGGTCGCGGTCCACCACCGAGGAAAGCGAACGCGGGCCCAGTCTCGGCCAGAATTACTGCGAGAAGCCAACGAGTGTCTAGGGTCTCTTTATGCTAGAGGAGCTGTTCAGTTGCAATGCCCTCCGCAGACCGGACGCAATTGCCTGTTCGTAGTTGGTAGACACAATATGGAGGAAACTTTTCTCACGATGCGCAATTGGGGAAATAAACTGCACATGGAAGACAAGACTCAATTGAGATTCCATCTCTCTTGTCGCTCTCGGCTTCCCCACACCTGTACCTCAGAAGAAAAAAAGGTGTCCCATTGTTCCTCGGACCACTGCCACCGCTTGACCAAAAGGCTCATTCTTACTGGTACGTTCATCTGCCTCCCCCCGTTTAGTGACGCCAATTCTCCTCCCCCAGGGCCCCAGACCGTCCCTTTCCCCGACCCCCAACTCTGAGTCTCTGACCCAAACTCGGCCCAAAACTCACTAGCACCGCGGGCAAGCCCAGTCGTGGACTCGTGTGCCATGGAAGTCCCCAGTGCGAAGTTGCCCCCCCTGGTTTCTGCTTTTCCCACCGGCGCTTCGACCTCGGCTCACGAATCGCCGTGTCAGCGACCTTTCTGCCACTCCCTCCCATCTGCGCGCACCACCTCACGCAACCAGAACGACTCGTCTCCGTAAGGTATGTACCACTGTCCCACTGCACCGTACCATACGGTACGAAGTATACCCCCCCAGGTCCCTTGCGGAGCGGATACCACTACCACCTGCACCTGCCTTCGGCCCCAGACCCGCGTCGTCCTTGTGCCTTTGTCCCCATCTTCCCTCGGCGTAGCAACAAGACGAAAGGCACCGCTCCTCTTCTCGTTTTCTTCTTAAACCTCTCCATCCAAACTCTCTTCCTCCCCCACCAACTTTCCTCTTCCCCATCCTCTTTGTTTGTTCTCCATTCTGTCCTTTGGAGCGCATCAATACCATCACATCAATCAAAATGGCACCCAGAGTTATCGTCGTTGGCGGTGGTCGTAAGTTACCTCAACCCCTTCTTCCTGCTCACACCTCCGCCTCTCAGTCTTACCACTCTCTGTCTGCCGCGGCCAATCTCGGCCTCGTCTTACCCGCTCACATGCTAATCCGTGCTGCCAGTGTCCGGCTTGAGTGCCGCGCATACCATCTACCTCGCAGGAGGCAACGTTGTCGTTCTCGACAAGCAGGGTAAGTCTAATAAACCCATTACTACCACGCTGCTTGTGATTGTCGCAAGGCTCACGCTCTCACCCTATAGGCTTCTTCGGAGGCAACTCCACAAAGGCCACTTCTGGCATCAACGGCGCCTTGACGCGGACACAGGTCGACACCGGAATTGCCGACAGCGTCAAGCAGTTCTATGATGATACCCTCAAGTCTGCTCGTGACAAGGCCCGCCCCGACCTGATCAAGGTTCTTACCTACAAGTCCGCTGCTGCCGTCGAATGGCTTCAGGATGTCTTCAACCTGGACCTTACTCTCGTTTCGCGGTTAGGGTAAGTCAATCGCAGAAGCCCAATGTACAAGTTTCCTCAGGTTCTAACCTATCATACAGAGGTCACTCCCAGCCCCGTACCCACCGTGGTCACGATGCCAAGTTCCCCGGTATGGCCATCACATATGCCCTCATGCAGAGACTCGAGGAGCTCGCTGAGACCGAGCCCGAGCGTGTCGAGATCATCAAGAAGGCCCGCGTTACCGGCCTGAACAAGGACGGCAACACCATCACTGGTGTTTCATACGAGTTCAACGGCGAGGAGCAAAAGGTTGACGGACCCGTCATCCTTGCCACCGGTGGTTACGCTGCCGACTTTGGCGAGACCTCCCTTCTCAAGAAGCACCGTCCCGATACTTTCGGCCTCGCCACCACCAACGGCACCCACGCCACTGGTGACGGTCAGAAGATGGTCATGGCCATCGGCGGTAACGGTATTGACATGGACAAGGTCCAGGTCCACCCTACCGGTCTGGTTGATCCCAAGGACCCCGGTTCCAAGTGGAAGTTCTTGGCTGCTGAGGCCCTTCGTGGTGAGGGTGGTCTCCTTCTCAACGCAGACGGTGATCGTTTCTGCGACGAGCTTGGCCACCGTGACTACGTCTCCGGCATGATGTGGAAGGAGAAGGACAAGAACAAGTTCCCCATTAGACTCATCCTCAACTCCAAGGCCTCTAAGGTCCTTGACTTCCACACTCGCCACTACTCTGGCCGTGGTCTGATGAAGAAGATGACCGGTGCTGAGCTGGCCAAGGAGATTGGCTGCTCCCCCGACCACCTCCAGAAGACCTTCACCACCTACAACGCCATTGCCGATGGCAAGCAGAAGGACCCTTGGGGCAAGAAGTTCTTCCACAACCTGCCCGTCGACATCAACGATGACTTCCACGTCGCGCTGATGGAGCCTGTTCTCCACTTCACCATGGGTGGTATCGAGATCAACGACAAGGCCCAGGTCTTGAACAGCGAGCAGAAGCCCTTCGACGGTCTGTTCGCCTGTGGTGAGCTTGCTGGTGGTGTTCACGGTGCCAACCGTCTTGGTGGCTCTTCCCTACTTGGCTGCGTCGTCTACGGCCGTGTTGCCGGTGACACCGCCAGCAACTACCTCTTCCAGCAGGCCCTTAACGGCGTAGGAGGTGCCACCTCCCGTCTCGGCCAGATCTCACTACACCTGGACCCCGCCCAGCCTGGTCGCGTCACGATCGACTGGAACAACGGTGGTGGCTCCGGCGGCCAGGGTATCCCTGCCCAGCAGACCACATCGGCCGCCGGCCCCACGCCCGAGAAGGCGGACGGCCAGAAGGCTTCCAAGCCCAACAACCCCAAGGAGTTCTCCGTTCCCGAGAAGGAGTTCTCTATGGAGGAGGTTGCCAAGCACAACACCAAGGAGGACCTGTGGGTCGTCGTCAAGGGTGTTGTGATGGATCTCTCAAACTGGCTCGAGGAGCACCCCGGTGGACCCCAGGCCATCATGAACTTCATGGGCCGCGACGCCACTGAGGAGTTTGAGATGCTGCACGACGACGAGGTTATCCCCAAGTACGCACCACAGCAGGTGATTGGCCGCGTAAAGGGCCAGACGCCGAGTTTGGAGCTGTAAATTTTGAGACGATCATTTACGACGAGCGCACGACGGAATCTTGGCTTTGGGTAAAACAGTGATAACCGGAGTAACGGGTGCGCATTGGCGCGCTTTTTTGAATTTGGGCATTTTTCTCACATCTAGGGAATGTATTCATAGATACATGTTGTAGTCTCTTGGATTCAATGGAACTCCAAACTCTCTGTTCACTTGACTGCCTTTTCTCCATGTGATATGTATGACCATAATTGACTTAATGCCGCCGTCTAGGCAGCCGTGTATGTTTCCCATGATTTCCGCTGTCGTGCCGGTAATCAGTTCAAAGCCGTCCATAAATGTCCACACTAGACGAGGGGGCTGCAAAGGTGCCATGGATTGTTGCAAGCTTCGGAGTAGCCAGTGAGAATGCTCTTTTCATAGTCCGCCTGTTATTGTTTCTCTCCTCTTTGCATGGCATCAAATCGAGAACATACCGCAGCTATTGTCTACGTTTCCTGAAATTCTCATGCCACATCGCTTTCTACCCATATCTAGGGCTGAAACTTCCTCCTCCTCCCTCCGTCCTATGAAAGCAACGACTGAACGCTGGACGGGGCTTGGAAGGAGGTCGCAACTTCCAGCTTGACTCGCCGGGATCATTACACTGACAAGCCTCGGTGTAAAGACATCGGGTGCGGGTTTACTTCACGTGCTACGTGGAACTCGTGTCTCATTATAGTATCCAACATGTGTATCACCAATTAACTACTATAAGATGAATAAACCCCTACCCCAGAGCCCCCTTCAAGACTACTTTAGAACTAGACTGCCCCGTCACTCTCAAGATGCTTCTTCGTTCTCCTCGGTCTCCTTGAGCGGCTTTCTCGCGTGAATGATGTACCTGGAAAGTTTCTATTAGCAATGTCAAGCACAAGCGGAAGCCGGACATCGAACTTACACAGGAATGTATCCATGCATGTTCTTGTTCTTCAACTCATTCCTCACCCCAATCAAGAACACATTCACCTCCTCCTTCGTCCACTCGAGCGCCCGCGTAAACGGCGCCATGCTCCACGCCTCGAGCCCCTCGAGCATATTCTCGAGCGTCCAGATACCGAGCTCGCGGTAGTGTGGGTCCTTGGGCCACGCGTTGAGCGGCCACTTGTACTTCGTGACGACGACGTCCTCGAAGCCGACCTCTTCGAGGAGGGGCTTGAGGCCGGGGCAGTCGACAAAGGGGCGGCCAAAGATGTTGCAGGCCTCCTCGAGACGGTCGACCCATTCGATGAGGGGGCTGTCGGGCTTGAGGGTGCCGTCGTCGCACTCGGGGCGCATGTGGCCTTCTTGGAGCTCGAGGTAGCCGCCTGGTTCGAGGAAGCTGTCGGTGTGGGGGTATTTTGATTAGTTTTCCGTGGTCCGGGTTAGACAAGGGGGAACTATGAGATGCTGCTTTACTCGTATGATTGTTTGAAGAATCTCTTCCAGTCGGAGATGCTTGAGGTCATTGCGCGGGTGTGGATGTAGTCGAATTTGGTGTGGTATGTCCAGGGTTCCTCGAGGTCATCAACCTCGAACTTGACGTTGGGCGGGACGCTATAAGAGAGAACATGAGTACGACTGACTACCGCTTGTCTGAGAAGAGAAGTAAAGACAGTTCCTACAACTGAGTCTGCGCGGGAGACAGATCGATACCAACAACCTAAACAAAGCAGCAAATTAGCAAAACCCCACGGACATCTTTACAGCCAAAGACTGAGTCAAAGTGGCAAGAGCGGAAATATACCTCGGCGTCGGGATGTTCGTCACCGAATTCAACGCACCAGAGTCCGGTGCCGGTACCCACGTCGAGCACGCGGCCTACCTTGGCCTCGGGCTGGGCGATGGGTGCGAGGCCGAGCCTGTAGTCGAGGGTCAGGAGGAAGACGTTGTGCTGCAGATCTGTGATTCATTAGTTACCCATGTCAGGAGTACGTTGAGACGTGTTTCCCATCACGACTTACCCAGCCTATCGGCTTCCTTCTCATCGTTCGGGTAGCTATATTCTATGCCATGTTAGCGGACGATGTGGACGCAAAGAAGGGCTCCCCAGGTTATGAGGTGGATCGGATACTCACGACCGTCTTTGTATCGGTGGTAGGTTCTGCCGTTCTCGATACGGTGGTTGAGGATTGAGCTTGCCAAGCTCGTGCTTGAAGATGCAACGCTCTGAGAAGCCGATGACTTAGTATAGACATTCAAAGTCTATGGCATTGTCGCGTTACGCGGGGAAACTTACAGTCGCCCGGTCCGATGAGCTGTCGTCAGCGCTCTAGAATAACACATTATCAGGATATTTGCGGTTTCATGGAAGATGAGTGATAAAAGCAGAGAGGAAATCAGAACCCGGCTATAAGCGATCAACTCACAAAATCATCAGCGATAATGACAGGACCATTGTTGGCAGCAGGTTGCGGCTCTTGATCGGTGGTAGACATGACTGCGACTAGTTGAATATAAGATTGGCGAATATATATCTCTCAACTCTGTGAATGAGTCCGATGAGGGGAAAATAACATACAAGGACGAAGGGGATGACGAACCCGAGAGAGTGGCAGCGGTCCCCGTTTATCACCCCTCCTCCTCCCCCCCCCCCCTCCTCTGTCTCTTTCCGATGAAAAAACGAAAGATGATAAGTTGTTTGCCCCTCTCTTTCTCGGTTGGGAGACAATTATGCACGTTGGTGGCAAGGTGCTGCCGGTGGAGAATGTTTGTGCTTCCAACCGCATGGGTCTGTGAACGCATTAGGAAACCAGAACGCAGCCCATCTCCGAGGTACGCGTGGTAAAGTAGCAGTTGTAGACATCCTCAACCGGAATCGTCGATGATTGGCTCCTTCTGTGAAATGGGTCAAGGGAACCTACTTGTCACTGGCGTGGGCTTGCATTCGAATAGACGGGACGTACTGGAATTTTTGCTCGATGTTCATGCTATTTAGGAGTTACTTTCGCCTGCGGAAGTGCTCCAGAGACATTGAATCTCTACTCGAACCGGAAATAGATCAATCAAAGCTCGCTCAACTTTTTCTAATAGAAGAAAATCAGAGACGTACACAGAGGGAACCCCGTGCAAGTGCTAAGGCCTGAAATCCATTGACAACAAGAAGAGGCCGACTGTCGCAAGAAATCCTACACGTCATGTCTCGAAGTCCATCCTAAAAGCTTTCGTTTTCCCTAGACAGTTCAAATCGAAACATTAGCCTTCAGCATACCCCTTTGTCGTTGACAATCTCTAGTCGCAACTTGTCACCGACAACAACGGTGATATCTAGAAGTCTCTATAGTCATTAGGCATGATCCGGACCCTTCGTTACCGATATCACCATAGTTATAAAGCTGGTATCAAAGTCTCTAGCGAACATGATGCGCAAGCCATTTCATTCCTGTCACTGGATCGAAGACAAGATATCACCCACTACCCACCTTAACCTTCAATATCTCACTACACCCAACACACAACTTCAAAAGAACTCAGACTACAACGAAAAGCGCCGAGAGGACCCCAACAACTAAACCACCTCCGCCCATCAAAAATGTGCAACATTCAACAATTCATCTGCAACCTTTGCGACCGCCTCAAAGTAGTCTCCCTCACCTACTGCAAACAAGTCCTGTACGCCGGCCACGTCCCCTACTCGCACGTCCTCATCAAGATCAAAGACACCTTCGTCTGGACGCCTTATGAAGACTGCGAGGGCCTCACAATCGACCCGGTGGCGGCCCGTTGGATGAAGTGCGGCTCGTTCAACTGTAAGGATGACGAGGCGGAGACGGATGAACAGTTTGATGCTGATGATGAGATGAGTGACTAATATGTCGAATCATGACCGACGGTGATTAGAGGGTAGTTCGAGATTTGCTGGGGGAGAGATGACGACATGCGTGATGGCTGTAGTACGTATGTGGGTTTCGAGTGCCAGGCTCTAGAAAAAGATCGAGGCAACTAGCTACACGTTGGCTGGGCTTTAGAACAATTACAAACAATATGGAACTCCCTTCTTTTCTCACTGGGTTATACAGTTTACAATAATTCTTATACTCAAGGATCAAATCTGCCATTGATATTGTGCGTAATCGGCTTGCTATTCTAGTGGTATCATCTTATTCTGTAACAACCCGCAACGAAAAGGGACGGCAGAAAGGTATTAGGGACTAATGACAGAAAAAGGGGGTTTAGATCCGGCCAGGGATCTGAAAATCGGAGACGTTTGCATCTCGAAGAATTAGAGACCGGAAAAAAAGTTGGCGCTTTTTTAGTCGTAATGATGCTGGATGCTGCAATCATTCAAAACATACGCAGAGAATCTGAATTTCAAATCGCGAGGCTCAAATGTCGTCCATCAATCTTTAACGGCGGACGGGAGGGGTTCGGGCACCCGTCAAAGGAGGACCTTGGGAGTTCTCCATGTTGCCAGTCAGTTCAGCAACACGCGCCTTGATACGCGCTACGCGGGATTCGATTGCTATACATGGTCAGATCTTGGACGCCAAAGGTTTCTAGTTTCATGGTAAGGCTTACTCTCTTCCCCGCTTGTGTCGTCGCCATCGTCGGTAGTCTTGCTGTATCCGCCGCGGCTCTGTTCTTCGCTTTGGCGTTGAGCTGCGCGCTCCGCAGCGTTCTTGCGGATCTGGGCCCATCGGTCGACTGCGGGCGGCGATCTAGGGCCATCCTCGGGAGACACCGGAGCGGACGAGTTGTCCGCAGGAGGTTCGGGGGTCTTCGCACGTCTCGCGATAGGGGGCGGAACAGCATCTTCGGAGTCGTCGTCAGGGACAAATGCGGGCTGCTCTTGCAGAGGGCCCTGGTCAAACCGCGAGAATTCGTGCCGAGCCTCGTTGGCATCGTCGGTATCGACGCGAGAAAGGGATTCATCAACGGACGGCTCGTACTGCGGCTCGTGAGCTTGGGTCTCAACTGGGGCGGGTTGAGGAGTCTCCATTGGTGTGATGTAAGCCTCTGCAGGTGTTGGTGTGGGGAGATTGGACTCTGAAGCAGCGGGTTGGGGGACAGGAGAAGGAGCAAGCTTTGGCGGCTCGGGAGTTGCTGTCTCGCGCTGGAGCATACCGTTCAAATCTGCGGCGGCATTCTCAGGCAGTTTCGAGTTCCGGTTCTTGTTACGGCCAAAAAGCTTGCGAAGTCCACCTCCACCGGTCTTCTCCTTGTGGAGCTTCTTGGAC